CCCCAACAGTGAGAGGCCCGCGTACGGCAAAAAAAAAAAAAAAAAAGAAAACTCCAAGCCCAGGTGGCCTCACTTGTAATTTCTATGAAACGTTTAAGGAGGAAATAGTACAAATCCTTCATAAACTCTTTCAGGAAAGGCAGGAAGAGCAATCATTTCCTAGCTCCGTTTTATGAGGCCAACATTACACTGATTGCACACCAGCCTCGAACGTTATAAGAAAAAGAAATTCACAGGCGCAGAGTACAAAACTCCTTCACAAAATAGCAGCACATCACATCCAGAAACATATAAGAAGGGTGTTGTACTGTGACCACCCGGAGTGGATCTCAGGAATGCAGGGTTGGTTTAACACCAACCAATCAGTGTCATTGCTTGACCAACAATAAACAATTCTTGTGTCAATAAAATGTAGAAGAAAAGCCATATGATGGTCTCAGTAGGTGCAGGACATTCAACAGTCATTCGTGATAGAAATTTGCAGCAAGTTCGGATTAGAAGAGACTCCATAACCTGACAAGGGGCATCTACAAAAACTCGCACCAGAGTCTTATGCTGTGTGCCGTGAGGGCAAGAAATGAGCGCGCACGGCCGCTGTCCTCACGCCCAGTCTCCGAGGGGGTCGGACAGGGAGGAGGATCACGCCAGCCATGGTGTCGGGGCCTTTGCACTCGCCCATGCTTTTGCCCGAACGCCCTTCTCCCAGGTGTTCAGGGATCCTGTGTCTGCCCGTCCTCCTCACATGTCCCCTCTGAGGGAGGCTCCCTTCACCGTCCAGTTGGAAACTACAGCCTTTCCCTCCCCTGCCTTCTATTTGTCCACAGCACTGTTGTCTGAGGTCCCACCTTCACTCGCTCATTTCGTCTATTCTTGTCCTCCTCCCACTAAAACGTAAACCCCGTGAAGGTGGGGATTAATGTGTATTTTGTACTCCGTTGTGTCCCCGGCACCTAGAACGGTACCTGGAATACTGCACATCACCCAGTAAATATGGATTCAATGAATGAATGAACGAATGGGTGCATTAGGGACCCCAAGAAGGACCAGCTGTGAGAGCTGAGTGGAGGTTGAGGAGGGTCAGGGATGGGTCCGTGGAAGAGTTACCATTTCCCATGAGCCCTCAAGGCCGGGCCGCACAAGAGCTGGTGGGAGGGATGCGAGAAGTGGAGGGGTCAGCATCAGTGGAGGGATGGGGGGGAAGCTGGGGGAGGGAGAACTTCGGAGCAGAGGTTAGACTGGAAGTCAGAAGCTTCAGGCTCTTGCCAGTGGTGAACCCTACATCGGGCCTGAATCTTTGCCTGTGGCTCTGAGGATGTCTGCGGTTGGGGGTAGGGCCCCACCAGCAGAGATCAGGGTCGGGCTTCATTCAGGGAAGGGGATGGACAGGTCACACATGAGCGATCACAATCTAGAAGGACCCGTGTTTTCTTACTTTCTTTAAAAAGCAAAGGTCTGTGGTCAGAATCTCGCCAAACACCTCAGGGCCAGAAGCCCTTCATTTAGGCACCTCCTTCTGGTGCCTGAGTTTGAGAGCTTACTATGTGCGACGCCCTGCAGTAAGAGCTTTACATCTGTCATCCTATCTAATCCGCCCCAACCCTTTGCAGCAGGTACCACCTTTATTGCCATTGTACAGCTGAGGAAACAGAGGCACAGAGAATTGAGGCGGAATTGTTTGCTCAATGTCACACAGCTGGCGAGTGGCAGCGCCCTGCTGCCCTAGGCGTTCACCTTCTCAACAGAGAGTGAGGCCATGTCACCATCACCGCCTGCGCCCCTGAAGCTCCTCCCGTGGGCCTTAAGGCGAGTCCATGAGTGGGAAGGGTGGGCAGGCGAGCTGACCACCAGCTGAGATGCACAGAATGACCAGGTGGGCAAGCTGGAGCAGCTCTCATCCTTTCTGAGCAGTGGCCGTTTGTTTAAACTGGAGACAGGAAGGTTCCTTCGGCAGAAAAGCCACTGAGCCCGGACCTGCTTCCTTGGCAGAACGTGATGCTGTGTCCAAGTGACCTGGCCTTCGGAGCTGGTTTCTGGGTGGGCCTCTCAGCTGTCAGCTCTGTGCAGACCCCGCCTTCTCTGAGCCCTGCTCCCTGGACCCGTCCTGCCGCCTGGGCCATGAGCCCGGAGCTCGCGAGGGTTAGGCTGAGGGAGCTGGTGCGGCCCACGTGCCTTCTCCCCCCTTCCCTCCGTGCCTCATGTGGGTCCTCCCCAACCAGTGTGGGGACAGACTGGTTCTGAGAGCTCCAGCTATCAGTGTGAGAGGCTGCTCTGTCCTTGTTTTATAGAAACACTGGAAAATGGCAGCTGATGGCCAGACCCCGCCCCTCACAGCTGTCCTGGGAATGCTGTTTCCTTCCCAAAGTGCAGTTGCTTCATGCCCCTGTCAGAGTGCTGCCTTTTGAGTGTACCACGTATATGAAAACTCACTGTTTCCTTCAAAATGACTCCTCTTTTGAACATCGGACATCCTCTTCAGTATTAACATTTAGGGGCTCATAAGTTTGATACATCTGTTTTTCCTGAAACAATTAAAAATGAATGTGTAGTAATTAAATGACATAAAGAGTCAATTTAAAGATAGTTCATCGGTGCCTCACTGCTCTCTGGTGTTGTGTGCTCCGTACCCTGGGGAAAGCACTCGTGTGGTGGGAGGATTGTCTGATCTGGTGTCACACAGACCTGGCTGTGATCCCTGGCCCTGCCACGTACAGCTGTGTGGCTTTGCGGAATTACTCAACCTCTCTGAGCCTTGGTTTGGTTTTCCCATATAGGCCTACTGGAGGGTTAAGTAATCTGATGGACAGAAGTATTTGGCTCTGGGCTTAACACATGGTAGATAGTTTCTTTCGTTATCTTCTTTGCCCTCCCTGTATTGGTCAGGGTTCTCCAGAGAAACAATGTGTGTGTGTGTGTGTGTGTGTGTGTGTGTGTGTGTGTGTGTGTGTGTGTGTGTATACACACACCTCTGAAGGCTATCAGGCAGGAGGAACTCCCTCTCATTTGCAGGTGGGTCAGCCTTTTCTATTCAGGCCTCAACTGATTGGGTGAGGCCCACCGACACTGGGGAAGGCAATCTCCTTTACCCAGTCTACTGGTTTAAATGTTAATCTCATCCCCAAACACCCTCAGACACACCCAGAATAATATCTGACCAAGTAGCTGGGCACCTCGTGGCCTGGCCAGGTTGACACGTAAAATTAACCACCGCAGTCCCCCAGCACACTTCTGTATTTTAATAACAGTCTCTGGGTGTCTCTGCGTTTGCCAGACGAGACCTGCTTCTGCCTCTCATCCCCTCTCACGTCCGTCGCTCTCTGCCTGCCTCGGGGTGAAGGGTGACTAACCATCACTTCTGTGAAGAATGACCCGTCCTCCCTCCGTGCCGTCCTCCCTCCGTGCCGAAGGTGTTTACCTGCCCTCCCGCGCACCTTCCCTGTAACCTCGGGCCGTGCCCTGGGCCTTGTGCCTGTTGCCAAGGTTCCCGTCGCTGAGCTCTGGGTTTGTAGGGCCTGTTGGGGATGGAGGTGACCGTCTGGGAGGCGGCCGTGTGCCAGGTCCTGCCTGGAGGTCAGCAGGTACCTGGCCTCTCCTCCCCCCCAGGGAGCCCTTTTCCCACCAATAGTTATTTCCAGTTCCCTGGAATAGTCCTGTCAGGTGACTGTTGAACATGGAGGTGTTTTCCAGTGTCCCGAGCAGTGACTCTCTGCCTGTGTGATATGTTCAGGGCTGGGGTGGGGGTGAGGTGGGAGGGGAGGTCCTCGCCCTCAGGATGTCCTGCTCCTACTAGAGGGGCCTCGGCTGCCTGTCTCCTCTGGTTTGAAGCTGGTGGAGCCTGGCCCCTCTATCCTGCGAGTCTGGGACAGATGGTGGTGGTGGTGGGGGGGGGTTGCTGCGGCTCTGGCTTCTGGTCCCAGCCCTGCCTCTCCGGTGGCTCCAGAGGGTGACTTCTCTTCTTCTCGCTGCAGGTCATCGACCCGGCCGGAGGTGGCCAGCATCGAGCCGCTGGGCCTGGACGAGCAGCAGTGCTCCCGGAAGGCAGTGGTGCAGGCCCGCCTGTCCCAGCCCGCCCGCCTCACAAGCATAATCTTCGCGGAGGACATCAGTAAGGCCTCCCAGTGCGCCGCGTGGCCCCTGGTGGGGATGGGGGCTGAGGGGCTGGAAACACCCCGCTGAGGCTCAGGCCACAAGGACCGAAGAGCCCATGGCCACGCTTTCCCTTCTCTTGTTGGGTCTGAGGACGCCCGTGGAGCTGGGGGGTCACTGAGCAAGCAGCGTGAACCCTGGTCCCTCCTGCCAGCACCTTGTCCTGCTTTCCCTCCCGTGGAGGCTGGCTTTCATTTCTAAGTTATTAGTTGTTACCAAAATAACTCTTAATGGGCGTTGATTCAAAATGAAGAAAGTTGTGCAATGTTTCACTTCCCCATTTTTAATTTGCCATATTATGGTCATAAGATGCTTAGAAAACAATGAATTTTCTGTCATGCTTCTCCCCCACCTAACATGGTATGAAAAGTTTCCCATTTTATTATAGAATTTTTTTTTTAACATCTTTATTGGAGTATAATTGCTTTACAAGGGTGTGTTAGTTTCTGCTTTATAACAAAGTGGATCAGTTATACATATACGTATGTTCCCATATCTCTTCCCTCTTGCATCTCCCTCCCACCCTCCCTATCCCACCCCTCTAGGTGGTCACAGAGCACCGAGCTGATCTCCCTGTGCTATGCGGCTGCTTCCCACTAGCTATCCACCTTACGTTTGGTAGTGTATATATGTCCGTGCCTCTCTCTCGCTTTGTCACAGCTTACCCTTCCCCCTCCCCATATCCTCAAGTCCATTCTCTAGTAGGTCTGTGTCTTTATTCCTGTCTTACCCCTAGGTTCTTCATGACATTTTTTTTCCCTTAGATTCCATATATATGTGTTAGCGTACGGTATTTGTCTTTCTCTTTCTGACTTACTTCACTCTGTATTTTTAATGGCCGAAGAATATTCTTAACCAGAGGTTGTGCTATAAGCATTCCCTTATATGAGGCATTCAGATTGTTTTCAGATGTTTGTTTCAGTGTTATATAGGAAAATAAATAGTTTCATTCGGGGAACAACTTTGGGTTCTTTCAGGTTATTTCCTGCCAAGGATAGATTCCCAGCTCTACTGGGTCACAGCCTATGAATATTTTTAAGGTTTTTGATAAATGGGGCTGAATGGCTTTCGCACAAAGTTAAGGGTGTACAGTAGTTATATGGTGCCTGGAGAATGGTCAGAATGATTTTGTGTCACAAGCTGTTATTTTTTACATTAGTGGATTCTCCAGGTAATGCCATTTATGTGTCTTATTGATGGAGCAAGTAAGAAATCTGTGTAGACGTGCACACTTTTTTTATACTATAGTGTAGTTGATAGTCTTATGCAAAAACTGCAGTGTAGACACAGACACACACAAACGCACAAATTCCGGGTGTAATTGCTAATCTCAGGGGAAGGACAGGCATTCAGAACAGCATTGTCCTTTCGGATGCTAACTTATCATATCAGAACCCTTGTCGTTTAGCTCAGTGGTTACACTCTGAACAAAACTAGGAATTCTAGGAAGAGTGTTTTGCACACAGCTTTAAACGCTGGCGCTCGCGGTGGAAAAGTACAAGATGGGCAGTGAAAGTGTCTGGAAGGCCCTTACTTCCTGGACGTCCATGCTGACTCTCGGACCTCGAGGAGCTCCTGAGGGTTGACTCGGTTCTTCCAGCCCCTTTTTTTTGGGGGGGATTGTTGGTTTCCCTTGTCTTTGCCAAAGAATAAGACCATCCAACCTATGAGGTGCTGGAGGTGGGGTGGCTGCCCTCCGGCTGACCCTGTGTTCCCTCCGCTGCAGCCACCGGCCAGGTCCTGCGCTGCGACGCCATCGTGGACCTCATCCACGGCATTCAGATCGTCTCCACCACCCGCGAGCTCTACCTGGAGGACTCCCCGCTGGAGCTTAAGATCCAGGCCCTGGACTCGGAAGGTGAGATCATTGGCCCGGCAGGCTCTGTTTCTTCCTCTCCTTGTGTGTGGCCCGCTCTCCCCCAAGGCGGGCTGCTCCGGCCAGGGGGGCAACGTGGAAGAGGTCAGGGCCACCTCTAAGTGGACGCTAGGCCTGCGGTGGCAGCGAGGCCACGGCCGCTTCTCCACAGGGCCTGGAGGCCAGCTCCGTGCCTGTGCACAGCTGGGAGGGGCTCACGGGGTCACTGCTGTGAACAACAGAGGCTCTGGGGTCTGGGGCTGGCTTCCTGATCCAGACTGCAGCCTACGCGTGCGCGTGTGTGCATGTGTGTGTGTGTGTGTGTGTGTGTGTGTGTGTGTGTGTGGAAGAGAGCACGTCTATGCTGCTGGTCCCACGTACCATCCTTCACTTCATAGCAGAACATTGGCTTGTTCTGGGCTGGGATTCTTTGTGGAAGGTCTGTTCTGCTGGTTGGAAGACTGTCTTGGCTGTAACCTGACCTCTTGGTCAAGGAGCAAAGGGAAAATTTGTAGGTTAAGGTTCTTGCTGAAGAGAGTAGGTCAGGCAAAAGGCATCTTCCAGACGAAGGATCTTCTAAAACTTCACGTCCAAGCCAGGACTCACCTTGTCTTTGAAATCTCCCCTGACCACTCTAGCCCCCCCATGCCCTGGCTTTTTCAAAACATTGTTATAGATCAGAGTTTCTTAGCAGGATTGGCATTTGGGGTAGATAATTCTTTGTGGTGGGGACTATCTAGTACATTTTAGGGTGTTTGGCAGCATCCCTGGCCTCTATGCACTGGGTGCCAGTAGCACCCACTGAGTTGTGACAACCAGCAATCTCTCCAGCCATCGCCAAATGTCAGTGTTTCGAAGCATCTGTCCGAGCCTTCCTTCCGCTCTGTATTCATTCATCGGATAAGCTGCCCAGCTTCTCTGATCTCCCCTCTGATCTGTGAAACTGACATAGTGATGCTTACCTGGTCACGAGGACCTGGTGAGTGAGTGTGAAGGGTCAGCCCCGCCTGGTGTGTGGTGGCTGCTCAGTGCCCTGGGTGGCAGCGCATATTCTGCCTTCTGGGTCTGCCAGGTCCTGGGGTACTGCTGTGGTGGGGCGGGCACACTGGGCCTCTGCCCATAGCATCTCAGGCCATGGGGTCCACTGGTAGATCAGGCCCCACATGCCTCCCGGCAGGTGCGGTTTGTAGTCACGTTGGGTGCAAAGTGTGAAGGGACCACTGGGTGGGGGAGCAACTCCAGGGGGCTTGGATGTGGGGCGTGGAGGTCAGGGGTCAGAACAATTTCTTAGAAGGCGGGATGTTTGACTGAGCCTCGAGGGATGTGGGATCTGCCAGGCGGGGACCCCGTTTCATCCTTGAGACTGAAATTGGAGAGGCCGAGCGACGCAGGATATAAAGGGGCCTTGTGTCAGGTGTGGGATTTGCGCCTGGTTTGAGGCAGAGGGCACCGAGGAGGGGTTTGTGCAGCGAGCTGATGGGAGCTCACCTGCCCGACGCGGTGGCAGGGGTCATATGCCGCTCACTGGAGCCAGGCATCTCTGGGCGCCTCACCTGTCCTGACTCATTTCACTTCCAGGAGCGGAGACTGAGAGAGAACACACAGTGCACACACAGACACACACAGACCAGACACACACACATGCTAGTCCCTCGTTCGCAGCAGAGCCAGAATCTGAGCTCCGGCCTGGTTGGGTCCCGAGTTCACTCTCAGCCAGGAGTCAGCACGTGTTTTCCGTGATGGGCTGGGTAGGAATTGTTTTAGGCTTTGCCGGCCAGACCGTCTCTGCAGCACCTACTCAGTTGTGTCAGCATGGCGCTAAAACAGTCACAGACAGTGTGGAATGAATGGGCGTAGCTGTTCTAATAAAATTTTATTCACAAAAACTGGTGGGCACTAGATCTGGCCCAAGGGCTGTGGAGTGCCAACCCCTGCTCTTAACCTCTCTGGTCTATTTCCTGTCTTGTCACTTAAAAAAGAAAGATTTGTTTATTTAAAAAAATTTTATTTTATATTGGAGTATAGTTGATTTACAATGCTGTGTTAGTTTCAGATGTACAGCAAAGTGGTTCAGTTACACATGTATCTATTCTTTTTCAAATTCTTGCCCCATATAGGTTATTAGAGAGTATTGAGCAGAATTCCCTGTGCTATACAGTAGGTCCTTGTTGATTATCTATTTTATATATAGTAGTGTGTACATGTCAATCCCAAACTCCCAATCTATCCCTCCCCACGACCCAAGTTTTGTTAATTTTTATCGAGATTTATATACCATGAAATTTACCCATCTAAAGTGTACAGTTCAGTGGTTTATTTTAAAAGTATATTCACGAAGTTGTACAGCCGTCAGCACTGTCTAATTTTAGAACATTTTCATCCCTACAAAATGAAACCCCACACCCATTAGCGGTCAATTCTTGTGATTTCCTCTTTCCGGCCCCTGGCAGCCACTCATTCACCCATGTTGTAGCCTGTGGCGGTGCTTCGTTCCTTTTCTCAGCTGATTGATGCTCCATTGTATGGATGGACCACATTTGTTTACCCGTGCGTCAGTTGGGTGGACAGTTGGGTTGCTGCCACCTTTGGGCTGTTGTGAGTAGTGCTGCTGTGAACATGGGTTCGAGTCTTTGTGTGGACATAGGCTTTTGTTTCCCCTGGGTCTACACCCAGGAGTGGAATTGCTGAGTCAAAGGGCAACTCTCCGTACCTTTCTGAGGAACAGTTGGAGAGTGTTTCCACAATGGCTGTGCCGTTTCACATCCCCACCAGCGATGCGTGAGTGTTTCGGTTTCTCCAAATCCTCACCAACACTTATTATTCTCCATCTTTTTTTTTTTTTTAATAGTTTATTCGTTTTTAAGTCACTTTGGTTTTTCCCCTTGGGCAGCTGGTGGATGTGTCAGGAATGGAAGGTGGCTGCCCAGCCTTCCTGTGTGGGACAGGTGCCCACTGGCCCTAGGGGATCACGTTTCACAGTCCTCCCACTCCTAAGGTTCTGGTGGTGCATGTGGCCACTTCCGGGGGGAGCCCTGGCTCACCCAGGCCTGCATACACTGGCCTTTCAGGAAGAACCCAGGTCAAGGCCCACCTTTGCGGCACCAGGTGGTTCACTCCCTGCCTCCCTGTTCACTATGAGGGTGTCCCCACCCAGAAGCACTTGGACTAGTTCCTTAGAATCCCCTCTTCCTTTGTCCTGAGCCTGTATCCTCTCTACTGGTCAGTCTCCTTTGTAAAGACGAACTTGACCTTCAAAACCTTGGAGGGCCCCCCAGTCTCAGAAGGGATGTACCTTATCTAGGTTGGTGCCTGTTTGGTTTCTGCCCTGCTTGTGGCTCAGCAAACATTGATAGGTGCCCAGCCCTAAGTGTAGTCTTTTACCCCACGAGGGTGGATGGTAATTATACATTAGCCCATTGTACAGACAAGGAAGCTGAGGCCTAGAGAGCTTCAGTGACTCACCCAGGGTCCTGCAGCTCGTGGGCGGCAGAGCAGGGGCTGGGACTCTTGTCCACTAGGCCACACTGCCTGTCTCCAGCTGCTGCATTTTTCCTGGGCGCCGTGGTCTGCACCAGGGGCTGGGGCCTACTTCATCGGCCTGAGGCCATCGCAGGGTTCCTGCTTCGAGTTAATGTTTTCAGGGTTCTCTCCCAGCCCGCATGTACCTGGCGCCCAGGCAGTGCTGGGCGGCTCCGGTCCCCCAAATGCCACGCCTCACCTCCCACTCAGAGCACCTTCCACTCCCACTTCTGGATCTCTGCTTTCTGAAGCCCAGGCCCTCTGGGCATCCCCTCTAATATTTTCTCCTCCAGGGCTCTCCCAAGGTGGAGTTTGTCCCTCCTTTGAAATCCCTCAGTGATTCGCAAGCCCAGCCTTGGGGCATGGGGCACTTTTTACTCGTTGTCAGGCTCCGCACTTGGGCAGAATTGGGATCACTTCATTCTTTGTTTGACACTGGACTTTGGGCCCAGCGGGCATCCAGCAAATGTTTGTTAAGTTGAATTGCTTAGTGTTTTCTGGCTGCCCTCCTGGGACCAGGACAGGGGGTGCAGCCTCCGGAGACTGGGCCCAGGGATTTCCTTGTTAATATGCGCACTTGGCACACAGTAGGTCTAATAGCTGCTTTTAAAAAAATTTTTATTTTATATTGGGGTGTAGTTGATTAACAACGTTGTGTTAGTTTCAGGAGTACATAATAGCTGCTTTTCAAACAGACACGGCAAAACTCTAGGCAGAAGCTTCTTGAACCGCCCCTACCTCCAAGCCTGCAAATTCCTGC